TCTCCCGCCCCCTCCGGACCTGCGTGACGATGGGGGGCCCGAGGCCGCCCTCGCGGGCCTGCAGCTGGCGGTGCGCGCAGCCCGCCCCGTCCGCCGCCGCGCTGACCAGCCCGACCGAGGCGCCGTGCACGCTGGCGAAGTAGCTGAGCCGCTTGGCGGGCAGCGGCAGGACGGCCAGGTTGTTGTAGAGCGCCAGGCTGCTCCCGCGCAGGGGCACCGACCGCTCCCGCCGGTACATCGCAGCCGCCGCCGCCGCCGCCGGGTCCGCGCAGGCGCAGGCTCGCAAAAGCGGAGGAGGCGGGGCGGCCGTTGCCAGGAGACGCGCGCGGGAGGGGCGGTTGCCCGGCGACGGCGTCGCGAGGGAGGGGCGCCCGGGGAGCAGCGGCGGAGGGGGGCGGCGGGGGTTCGGCGGGGGTCTCCGGGATGGCGACCCGCGACCGCGTGGCCCAGGCCAAGGCGCGCGCGGAGCGGGCCCGGCCGCCCACGGTGCCGGTGCCGCAGGTGGAGATCGTGCCGGGGCGGCTGACGGAGGGAGAATGGCTGTCGCTGCTGGCCTACGAGGACGGGGAGGACGTGGCGGGCGACATACTGGCGGCGCTGCTGGACCAGGCGCTGGCCGAGTGCTACAAGGTCTACCTGGCCCGGCAGGTCAGCCCGGCCGCCGCGAGCACCGGCCCCACCGGAGCGGGGCGGGGGCGGGGGAGAGAAGGCGCCTCTCTGCTGCGCGGGAGGGGGTGCTGGAGGGGGGGGGGGATGGGGCGCGGCCCGCGCCCCCCGCCCCCCCCCCCGCCCCCCCGACCCCTCCCCGCAGTGTGTGCCCTACGTGATCGCCCAGGCGCGGGAGGCGATGCTGCAGATCGTGGAGTGGCGCTTCCTGGTGCGGGACGGGGGCGAGAGCGACGTGCCTGCGGACCCGGCCTGGCAGGAGGACGAAGAGCCGGCCGCCTCCATCCCCGACTCTTGGGCCCAGGGCTCCGTGCCGCTGCTGCAAACCGTGCCCAGCCCGGAGTTGGAGGTAGGGCGAAGTGCAGCTGCGTAAAGTGGGGCCGAAGGGCGCCTCGACGCCGGGTCGGCTTGGCCTGTACCCGGGAAGTTTGGGGGGTCGGGCGGAGTCCCCCGGTTCTGCATCGGCAGCGGTGAAAGGACCCAACCGGGACTCCCTTGCTGATCACCCTTTCCTCCAGGTTCCTGCCGTCAAAGTGCCGGAGGAGGAAGCGCCTGCCCTCTGGGAGCTGCCAGGCGAGGAAACCACCCAGGCTGAGGTGCCCCTCCAGTGTGGAGAGGAACTGACCTGGAAACGGCCCCTGTCGGAAGCCAAGCCTCCCAAGCCCAAGACAAGGAGGGGGCTGCCGAAGGGCCAGGCTGAGTTCCCACCCAGGGCTGCCTCTCCTAGGCTCTCCTTCAAAAGCAGGCCGTCCTGCCAGCTGCTCCCCCAGCACTCGGTTAAAATGGATGCCGGCGCGAAGACCGTCTCTGGGAAGAAGGGGCTGCCTGGGGCGAAGGTGTCCCAGGGCCCCCTGGAAGTGAGCTCCCTGCTAGGCAGCGCGCAGCCCCTGCTGCCTTCCTCCTGCAGCAACCTCCTCCGCATCCAGATGGGCCGTCCGCCCAACATCAGGGATGTTTTCTATGACGAGATGGGCAACGTCACGCTGGTGCCTCACCTGGATCTGAGCCGCTTGCCTAAGCGGTGGATCAAGCCCACCGTGGAAGTGGTGGACCCCAACGTTGAGTCGAGGTGCCAGGAGACGCTGAAGATGGTCTCGGGCCGCTGCAAGCAGCGCCATCCACCGAGTGGCTCTGTTAAGCGGGCCCCTGCAGATCAAAGCAGCCTCCGGGCTCAGGGGCCAGAGGAGGACCCCGTGAAGTCCAGGCGGAAGGCCTGCCCGGAGCAGGCGGCCTATTCTCCTCTCCTACCGGGAAAGACCCTGGAGCCCACCAGCTTTGTGTTTGTCAAGCCCAACTTGCTGGCAGAGACGGTTGACCTGGCCCCGGGAGTGAGCCTGCGCCGTGCCGGCAGTGGCTCTCTGAGCGCACGTATGCAGCCTGCAGAAGATGTCAAGGAGGCGGACGGGCCCTTCCTTCAGGAGCCACGGCTTCTGCCAAACCTGTGCCCCAAAGCTGTGCTGGGATGAGGATGTTCACCGGCCACACCCCAGCCTCACACTGTCCTGAAATAAAATGGATGTGGCACGCTATGGCTTCTCTACAAACCCCTGACTTTCTGGATGATAATCATCCTCCCCCACCCACCCCCAACCCACTTGTGCTTCTGTGGTTATCCTGCAGAAGAGAGGGGCTCTGTGTGGAATCAGTCTCCCCCCCCACACACACACTTTGCAGTAAAGGAATCAGCCAGCAGATAATTATACCCCAACTGAAAAAGCCCCCCACCCACGCCTGCTACCCTTTGAAAGGCTCCCCCTGACATTCTAGGTGGGAAGGTCCTTCCATGGTCAGCTGGGTGTATAATCGCCCGGTGGGGCTGTGAAAGGGCATGTCCCCCACTCTTACCGGGGAGGGTGAGAGAGGCAGAGAAGGACGTTGTGTCCCCTTTATTGGAAAGACAGCCTGGAAATAACACTGAAGCCTAGAGGGGCCAAGAAGCAGAAAGGAAATTGCACAGATATTTCTCTGTTAGCTAGATGTACCTATCTATTTTCTTCTCCTGCAGAAGTCCCTAAGCGTGGCAGGCCCTGGTAGGATTGGGCAAAGTTGTCCAGGGAGCTTTGGTAGGTGAGGGTGGCCTTGCATCCTAGAGCATTTTCTGCCTCTCGTGGCTCTAGGATTTAGGGGCGGGTGGGGGGGTGTTGTTGGGCAGAGGCCACCAGCGGCTGCCATGTTCAGCAGAATCCTGCAAAGGGCCGCCCCAGAAGAGCCAGAAGGAGCCGTGACACAAAATGACCCAAACCAAGCAGCCCCTGCCCGCTTTCTTCACGTTAGCTTGTAGAGCTGGCTGGAGGGTTCCAGCAGCTCTCTGGCTTCCTTGGGTAGCTTCCAGTGGCAAAGATTTCGCTTTTTTTTCTAAGCGTTGGTTTCGGTTGTCCTCAGTTTGGTTTCAGCACCGCCACCATAAGCCAGTGAGAGAGGAAATCTCCAGGGGGAGGAAGCAATGTGGGGTAGCAGGGAGAACTGCCCTGATGGACACAGGAAATTTTAAATCGGCCGACACCCAAGAATTTCTGAAAAGAAGCACTTCCTCCTTATAAGAAACAGACCGCACAAACTTCATTTTAAATGAGTTGGTGGGTGTGATAAGAGGGTTTCCACACACACACACCCGTGCTGTGGTATCTCACAGGGTGTTTATTAGAGGATGGCTGTGTAAGGTTATTTCACCCAAGATATGTGGGTTCAATAATGAAGAGAAGGCCGGATTCAGAGGTGGTATTCAGCAGGTTCTGACCAGTTCTGGAGAACCGGTAATGGAAATTTTGAGTAGTTCGGAGAACTGGCAAATACCGTTTCTGACTGGCCCCGCCAACCCCATCTCTTCTCTGCCTCCCAAGTCCCAGTTGATTGGCTGGGTCTTCTTTGGTTGCCCTGCACAAGAAAACGGAGCTGGAAAGCAGGTTTAGTGGGGTGGGGAGGGAATGGGGATTTTGCAGTAACCTTCCCCTGGAGTGGGGTGGAAATGGGGATTTTCTTTCCCCTGCCACGCTATACCCATAGATCCGGTAGTAATTTTTTTTTGAATCCCACCACTGAAGGAGATGCCTAACCTAGTAGGAATTTCTTAGCTGTGATTTTCCTGCATGCTGCACTAAACTAATGCAGAATTTTCATAAAGTTTGCACATTATTAGAGCCAGTGTGAATCTACAATATTTTTTCCAAGTTGCCTACATCTTAGATCTAAAAATAAAATCAAATGCAACTCTAAAATCAATCAAGATAACATATAGGGCTGACCTAGCTTTCCTTTCCAAGTAGATGTTGTAAAACTAAGGCACCGTCTAGGACTGAATGGGGGCTCTTTAAGGCCTGCTGACTCATCAGCTAGGAGCAGATATTTTCTGACCAGTTTGGACATTTATATGTGTGAAGGGGCATGATCTCGGCCAAGGACCATCCTGTGGGATCTACCCTTCTGGAAATCTACTAATCGAGGCAGTTCACGACTTACAAACATTCACTTAGGGACCATTCGAGGTTAAACTAGCTGAAAAAAGTCACTTTTGACCATTTTTCACTCTTAACAACGGTTGCAGCCTTCCCAATGGCCACATGATCAAAATTCAGGCAATTGACAGCTGGTGTTGTAATGACAAGGCAGTCGAGGTGTTTGATCATGATCAAATGAATCGTGATGAACTTTATTGGAGTCTAGTCTTGCATTTATACACATTTTTAGTACTCTTCCAACATTGGTTAATTTTGGTTGTTCTTCAACTTTCGCTGCTGTTTAGCATAGTAATTAACACAATTATCTCTAGTTAAAGTCTAACACATGTTTACTTCCTCTCTCTAATCCTACTTTACATTAGTGACTTTGTTTGCCTGAGTTGTATTTGCTATGGAACCTTCATTACCTGAGGTCTGCCATCAAGATAATGACATTCCTGCAATTACAACTCTGCAAACTGGCTTATAAGAGTTGTAGTATCCCGGGCTCACGAAATCCAGAGGTGGTATTCAGCACGTTCTGACCCGTTCTGGAGAATCGGTAGCAGAAATGTTGAGTAGTTCAGGGAACTGGCCAATCCCATCTCTGACTGGTCCCGCCAACCCCCTCTATTCTCTGCCTCCCATTGAGTCCCAGCTGATCGGCTGGGTCTCCTTTTCTTGCGAACGGAGCTGGAAACGCAGGTTAATGGGGTGGGGAGTAGAGGTGGGATTCAATTTTGTTTTACTATCGCTGTGGGTGTGGCTTGGTGGGCGTGGCATGGCTTGGTGGGTGTGGCTTGGTGGGTATGGCAAGAGAAGGATACTGTAAAATCTCCATTCCCTCTCCACTCCAGGGGGAAGGTTGCCACCGGTTCTCCAAACTACTCAACATTTCTGCTACCGGTTCTCCAGAACTGGTCAAAACCTGCTGAATACCCCCTCTGGTGGGGAGGGAATGGGGATTTTGCAGTATTCTTCCACTGCCACGCCCGCCAAGCCATGCCACGCCCACCAAGCCACAGAACCCACAGAACCAGTAGTAAAAAAATTTTTGAATCCCACCACTGGCGTAATCCCCTTTTGTGACATTCTGACAAGCACAGTCAATGGGGAAGCCAAATTCACTCCACAATGGTGTTACTCACTTAAGGACTGCATGGATTCAACTGAACAACTGTAGCAAGGAAGATTGTAAAATACGGGAGGGGGAAACTCCCTCCACAGCTCCCTTGCTTAGCCACGGAAAAATTGGCCTCGATTGTGGTCGTAAGTTGAGGACTCGCTGTAACTTCTGCAGGGGACCGAATGAGTCGGTTGAGCTTAGGCTGTTTGTGAGCTTTTCAGAGGCACCCAATGCAAGGGCACCGACCGGCCTCAAGACCCCCTGGAGCCCCCCTGGCAGTGCCCGAAGTAATCCTGCTCCCTCCTCAGATGGCCTCTCCTCGAGCCCCTGCGCTGCTGGGAGGGGCAAAAGAGAACACAACGGAATAACAGGCTTGGAAGGGACCCTGGAGGTCTTCTAGACTGTCCCCGTGCTCAGGCAGGAAACCTTAGACCAGGGGTCTCCAACCTTGGCTACTTTAAGACTTGTGGATTTTGCTGGCTGAGGAATTCTGGGAGCTGAAGTCCACAAGTCTTAAAGTGGCCAAGGTTGGAGAAAAACTTCCATTGATGGAGCATTTACAACTTCTGGAGGGGTTCCACTGATCAATTGTCCTGTCAGGAAATTTCTCCTTATTTCCAGGTTGCTTCCCTCTAACGATCTACCACCCCCGTTACTTCTTGTCCTGCCTTCAGGCGCTTTGGAGAATAGGTTGTGAGCAGGAATGGCGTTCAGCCGGTTCTGACCAGTTCTGGAGAACCGGTAGCGGGAATTTTGAGTAGTTCAGAGAACCGGCCAATGCCGCCTCCGACTGGCCCCGCCAACCCCATCTCTCCTTTGCCTCCCATTGACTCCCAGCTGATCGGCTGGGTCTCCTTTGGTTGCCCTGCACAGGAGAACGGAGCTGGAAAGCAGGTTAGTGGGGTGGGGAGGGAAGGGGGATTTTGCAGTGTCCTTCACCCAGGAGGGAGGAGGTGTAGAATTGTAATTGCAGGAATGTCATTATCTTGATGGCAGACCTCAGGTAATGAAGGTTCCAAAGCAAATACAACTCAGGCAAACAAAGTCACTAATGTAAAGTAGGATTAGAGAGAGGAAATAAACGTGTTAGACTTTAACTAGAGATAATTAATTGTGTTAATTACTATGCTAAACAGCAGCGAAAGTTAAGCAATAACCAAAGTTAACCAATGTTGGAGGATTACTAAAAATGTGTATAAATGCAAGACTAGACTCCAATAAAGTTCATCACGATTCATTTGATCATGATCAAACACCTCGACTGCCTGTCATTACAACGAGGAGGAATTGTTTACAGTATTCTTCCCCTGCCACGCCCACCAAGCCACGCCCACAGACCCGGCAGTAAAAATATTTGAATCCCACCACTGGTTGAGAGCTCCTCTTCTTTGGGGCAGCCCCTTAGTGAAGCACTGCTACCCTATCAATCCTAGTCCTTCTTTTCATTAAACCAGACATAAGGTCAACGTCATTGCCCAGAGGATCATGGGTTGCCCTCTCCCCTCTTTGGAAGAGCTTTAGAGCTCCCGCTGCCTTAAGAAAGTTCAAAGCATCCTCAAAGATCCATCTCATCCTGGGCACCCCTTTCTTTTGAACTATTACCATCTGACAGAAGGTGCAGGATAATAAAAACAAGGGCAAATAGGCTGAAAAACAGCTTCTATCCCAGGGCAGGAGCTCTATTGAATTCAGCTGTATAGTGCAGTGTTGGTGTGGTGTCAGGGTTTTCAATTCAATGTGTGGAGTGCGAAGGGTGTGTGTTTGTGTGTATTTTCATGGTCATGGTCATGATGTGCACTGAAGATGAAGTTTGATTTCGTTGTACGAGGTGCAATGACAATAAAGTATAACAAATTCCTGCGGGTTTTTTTTTTATATAATCTAGCCTCCCGCCCGCTCTGTCTTTCTTGCTCTTCTCTGCACTCTTTCTAGAGTCTCAGCATCTTTTTTTTAATAACTGGATGCCGAAATTCCGGGTGTGGCCTTACCAAGGCCTTAGATATGAAGTGGTAATGAACACTTCACCTCGTCTCCATTCCATCCCTCTGTTTATGCAGCTGAGCACAAGGCCTGCCTCGTCCTGATCCTGTCCCAGATCCAACCTCTTTCCTCGTCCAGGGATGCAGAGCTTCAGAGGCAACCCGGCAGCCCCTTCAACCCGGGGAGGATCCTTTGGGCTCCCTTTGGGAGAGCCTCACATCCTGCCTGCCTTTCCAACCCCCCCTGCCTCTGTTGCTTTGCCTTGACCTTCTTCTCTTGGGGAGGTTTTCAATCTCCTGTCCTTGAAGAGGAAACCTGGCAGCTCCGCTCCCTCCTCCCCCCTCCCTCCGTGCTGCATTGTGGTTTTCCAGCTGCTGAAGGACGACAAGTTCATCTTCGAAAACCCTCTGTGAATTCTGTGCCCCCCATATGAAATAGAATAGAATAGAAAATATGGAATAGGAATAGGATAGAATAGCAAATATGGAATGGAATGGATTAGGATTAGGAATAGAAATAGAAATAGAACAGAACATAATAAAATATATGGAATGGAATGGAAGAATGGAATGGAATGGAATAGAATAGATTGTGGGGTGGAGTGGAGTAGAATGGAATGGAATGGAATGGAATGGAATAGAATAGAATAGAATAGAATAGAATAGAATAGAATAGAATAGAATAGAATAGAATAGAATAGAAAATATGGAATGGAATGGAATAGAAATAGAAATAGAAATAGAAATAGAAATAGAAATAGAAATAGGAATGGAATGGAATGGAATGGAATGGAATGGAATGGAATAGAACAGAACAGAACAGAATAGAATAGAATAGAATAGAATAGAAAATATGGAATGGAAAGGAATAGAAATGGAATGGAATGGAATGGAATAGAATAGAATAGAATAGAATAGAATAGAATAGAATAGAATAGAATAGAATTCTTTATTGGCCAAGTGTGATTGGGCACACAAGGAATTTGTCTTGGTGCAAATGTCCTCAGTGTGCATAAAAGAAAAGATACGTTCATCAAGAATGATCAGGTACAACACTTAACGATAGTCACAGGGTACAAAAAGCAATCAAACCATTCTAGGATCATACATAACTCTAAACGTAAAGAAGACCTAGATTTGGCTCATAAGCTCTTCAAAAGCATCCCATTCTATTCATCATCAAAGGTAAAATGGGAGAATCTTATGACGCTTATTTCCAATTCCTAGGAATTGGGAGCCCCAGGTGATAGATTTGACACCTCCGGGCCTGAAAAACGGGGGCACCTCGTGGCTTGCCTGCCCCCTTCCCTTATTTGAAGCACCTCCTCTGAACCCCATTACTGTTTCCCCCAAGCCCCGGCCAGGAGATTTGCACGGATGGTGCAGGATGGCTGGGGGATATCTGGAAGTTTTATGGGAACCTCACCATGGATTACTCATTACTCATTGTTGGCTGCTTTGTGTTATTATTTCTGTTTGCTGCCCAGAGTTTTTATTCTGGTAAACGGATGGCCATGTGGGTTTGTTTACCAAATCAATCAATCAATCAATCAGAATAGAGATGGAAGGGGCCTTGGAGGTCTTCTAGTCTACCCCCCTGCTGAAGCAGGAGACCCTCTACTATTTCAGACTAATGGCTGGCTGTCCAGTCTCTTCTTTAAAAAACACTTCAGGGATGGTGCACCCACAACTTCTGGTGACAAGTTGTTCCGCTGATTAATTGTCCTAAATAAATGATCGGGGTTGTAAAACGATAGGAATTGCCACAAATTCTCTCAGTCTTGGACCGGCTCCTCCTCTCCCAGCTGCAAGTCATTTGCCTGTACAGTAATTTCCTTTATTTTCTGTTTCTCCAGAGCTCAGCCTTGGAAATTGTTTTGACTATCTTAAGTTACCAAGGATATTTTTCAGCGCCCCCGGTTCATTGGCTAACAGCCCCTGTTCCAGGGCCAGCCGAAATAATCACTTGCACCGTTAACAAACAGTTTCTAGCCGTACGATCCAGGACTTTATGTCTTGGGCAAGTGGGCTCCTTCCTCTAGTCTAGATTGATCCCCTCCTCGAAGGAATAAATCCTTCCTTTCCCTGATGAATTGCAAAATAATTCAAGAGCAGTCGGTCTCAGTTGCTTAAGTTTTCTGAAAGTCACGGTGACCCAGACGGCTTCCTGCAAAGCTTTTGTCTGTTTGCCTTTGGTATCATTACTCGTGTGGAATCTTCTTATCAAATCTGAAAAAAAATCAGAAAAATTAACAAAAATAAACATGTGTGGATTCTTCGCCATATTGATTTCTCTAAGGCGGGCCACGCTTTTCACCAGGAGCTGCATTTTGTCTGTTAAAAAAATCTGACCCAGCATTTTCTTTTTACGCTCAATTAAATGCCTTCGTGGCTCAGTGGCTAAGACGCTGAGCTTGTCGATCAGAAAGGTCGGCAGTTCGGAGGTTCGAATCCCTAGCGCCGCGTAATGCTGTGAGCTCCTGTTACTTGTCCCAGCTTCTGCCAACCTACGAGTTCGAAAGCATGTAAAAAAATGCAAGTAGAAAAATAGGGACCACCTTGGCGGGAAGGGAACAGCATTCCGTGCGCCTTCAGGCGTTTAGTCATGCTGACCACATGACCACGGAGACGTCTTCGGACAGCGCTGGCTCTTCTTCGGCTTTGTAACGGAGATGAGCACCGCCCCCTAGAGCCAGGAACGACTGGCACGTGTGTGTGAGAGGGAACCTTTACCTTTACCTAAATGCGTTCAATATAGCAGGAGCATTGGTGGAGTGATGTCGTAGGATCACAACATAACATAACCTGGGGGGAGGGGGGTACACAGAATGGAGGTCGCCCAGCCCTGATTTGACACGTCTCTCTAGGACTCTGTGAGCCAACCTGGGCTTCTCTGCCCTCACTTGCCTTTCTCCAAGGAGCTGGTCTCCCCTCCAGCTGGCAAAACGGGATAAATGCTACCTTTGCTACACAACACACCTTACTTCCTTAGGAGGCCTCCTCCTCCTCTTCCTCCTCCTCCTTCTCTTCCTCCTCTTCTTCCTCCTCCTCTTCCTCTTCCTCAGCTGACCTCTCCTGGCCTGTCCCGTTGGCCTTCCCAAAGTCCTATAGCATGGCTTCAGTCCAAGAAATGGGAAGGCCATTTGTTGAAAGTGGACTCTGCCCAGAGAACACTGGCTGACCTTTGGGGAGCGTTCCTCTGTCTGAATGCCAGACCGGCTCTTTCTTTCATTCGGACCTCCGGCCGAGCAGTCCTCTTCCAGAGCTGCTCCAGAAAAGACTGCCTGCGATGGAGGCGGCCGATCTCTTCTGCCACCCGCTCTGGTTCATCTGCTCCTTGGCCCTCCTGGCGCTGCTGTGGGTCCAAAGGAGGAAGAGCTGGAGGCCGGACACTTGTCCCGTAGACCTGACCGGCAAGACGGCCATTGTCACCGGAGCCAGCAGCGGTGAGTCTGGGCCTCTTGAGCCACATCGACTCAGGCCTTAGCGGATGCGTTTCCACAATCCCGGTGCGTTTGGGTTTCGGGCCTTTTGCTTGGTGATGCAGCACATGGCACAAAGCCTTCAAATGTGGTCGGTGTTTCTAAAGGAATCCAGAAAAGGGACGGTCTGGTTTGGTGTTTCTGGCCACGTTGCCTGGCGGACCTGGGAGGAAAGAGGCTCCCTTACCTCTGTCCGAGGGAAGAAGGGCCATCCCCGAGGCCGGCAACCCCAAATATTCCTGGGGGGGGGGGGGGAACCCTTTTTGATGTTGGTGTGTGTGTGTGTGTGTGTGTGTGTGTGTGTGCAGTTGTGGGATCTTCATCCCTGGAGGCTTTCAAGAAGAGGCTGGACTACGGTCTGTCAGAAATGGTGTAGGGTCTCCTGCTTGGGTGGGGTGGGGTTGGACTAGATGACCTACAGGGTCCCTTCTAACTCTATTCATCTATAAGTAAGTGAAGTAAGGCCGGCCAGTTCGGTCAGCCAGGCTGCTAAAGAATGGCTGCTGTCGAGGGTGGCTGAGGGCAGGTGGGGACCCCTGTCTTTTGGGAGGGTAGAGAGGACGTTCCAATGCCAGCCAGGATGGCGGCCCAAGAAGCCACTGGGGCGAAGGAGACCCCGCAGAAAGGGTCCAGTCCCGGCTCCCAAAGGCTCAGCAGGGACTCCTTCTGAGCCTTTGGGAGCCGGGACTGAACCCTTTCTGTCCCCAAGGTGGGCTGGAGCAGGGAAATGGCAGAGGGAGAAAACTTCGGCCTTACCTTGTTTGATCATCACACTTTCCCTCCCTCCCTGTTTAGAGCCAGCTGGTGGAGGGAAGGGGCCGGGCCTTGTCTTCCTGCTGCCCACGAAAAGGCAAAGGGCACCTGGGGGGGGGGGGGGGGGGGGGAGAACCTTGTGCCAGGAAAGTCACCTTTTCCTCCCTCTGGGAATGGCCCCTTCCTTTCAGACCATTGCCCACCCCACCCACCCACTTAGGGGTGGTGTGCCAGGAGTTGCACCCCGGGGACCGAGACGCGGTTCATTCCATTTTCTCAGAATGACGATGAACTGTATATACATTATTGCTCTCTGATATTTAATAAGGCTCCCAGTTTAGGACGCTTCTCGGTCATAAATTGATTAAAAGTTATGGAAGTCTACAGGCTTTGGGGGAGGGGCCGGGGTGGGTGGGTGGGGATACCAGCCTGTTTGTCTCCCTCAGAGGAGGGTTTTCCTTTGGGTCACCCGATGCCAGCTCCGCCCCCCCGGTCACCCGCCATTGGCCCGTCCTGAACGGTTGATGGTTTTTCTCTCTCTTGGAGGAAAATTGGGAAGTCCACCCGGCCATCTTTGCTTGCAGCCTCCCTGCCCACTGGGAGATAAGGGCAGCCAAAGTGGCAGCCGCTGCCTGATGAAGAGCAGGGAGCCCTGGGGAGGGCAGCCCCGGCCAATGCAGGGCTCTCACGGAGGGCATTTAATCGAGCCCCCTGGACCCGACCCTCCCCCCATTCAGAGCTCACACTCAGGTGCCCAGTGGCCACCTGCTGGAGGAGAATCCTTCAGTCCCCCAGCCCCCTGCAACCCCCTTTCCCCTCCCCTCCTGCCTCAAGAGGCCTTTTCCCATCACAGGAATGCGCCCATCGTGTCTCCTGGGGCCCCTTTTGGCCATGATGAGGGGTGGCCCTGCTGCAGCGGACTGGCAAGGGAGCACCACTGTTGGGATGGTTCCCAACCCAGTTTGTGCCACCTGGTTTGAACCTGCTTAGTGTGCAAGGCAGGGAATGGGATTCTACCGGTTCACACCTATTCGGTAGAACCGGTTGTTAACATTCTAAGCAGAACTGTTTGTTAGAAGAAATTACTGGGCTAATCCTGTAAGGAAGACAGGAAGGAAACATTCTGGTGTTGCTTACAGAAACTGTCTCTCCATTAACCCTTATTACATTTTTGGAAGGACTAGACTTCCTGTCTCAGGAATGTCTCTGGAGTTTTTTTCCCCCCTCCTTTGCTGGTACTTTGCTTGTGTGGAGTGACCATTCAAAGTTACAATGGCACTGAAAAAAGAGGCTTATGACCATTTTTCACACTTACGACTGTTGCAGCATCCCCACAGTCATGAGAGGCCAGGCGAGGAGATGCGTGCCTCGATATGAGTGATATCGAGTTGGCCACACCCAGCCAATAACTTGACCACCAAACCATTCCCACCAACTAAGCCATGCCCACAGAACTGGTTGTTAAAAAAATTGAATCCCAACCCAGGTGCAAGGCCCGTGGCGGAGACAAAGTTGGCGCTGCAGTTCTCCAACTTTACAGCATGCAGCTCAAGCCTTGGCGGCCTTTCTGGCGACCTCAGGATCCATGGCCCCATGGATGGGTGGGCGGGGGTGGGCAGGTGCTTGATGCCCGTCCTTTGCAGGAATTGGCAAGGCTGTCGCTCTCGACTTGGCACGCCGGAACGCCCGCACAATCCTTGCCTGCCGCTGCAGGGAGAAAGGCCAGGCTGCGGTGGAGGAGATCCGCAGAGCCACGGGGAACCCCCAGGTGCAGCTCGGTCTGCTGGACGTCAGCTCCATGGCCTCCGTCCGTGCCTTCGCCAGGAGGTTCCTCGAGAAAGGGAGCCAGCTGCACATCCTGGTGAACAATGCCGGTGTCTCAGGTAATGGGCACCAGGCAGCTATGCCCTGTTTGCCTGGGTCAGAGATGAGCAGGCCAGAGATGCGGAAGCGTCACCCCTAAGGACCCAAGTGTCAACTCATAAAGTATTTCTATGGTCTTTTTAGAGTTGCCAACAGAAAGGGAGGGGGGGGAGCAGTGCAGCCGCTTGCAAAACCGAAACTGCAGTCCATAAATGTTTTCAAAGATAGTAACTAGGTGACTGAAGTTTCTGCCACGCAAAATTCTAACTGGAGAGCGTGATTGATGACTTTTGGCTATGGAGGTGTCCCATTGGAGAATATGGATTACGATACACCCAGGGGGTGGGGGAAAAGCAGGGTCAAGGGTGACAGTGAATGAAGTGTCTCAGAGTTGGCTACACCCAGGCAATGCCGGACAGTTTAGTTCCCAATAAATTCTTTTGAAGTTTTGGAAGTTTAGCTCGAGACTTATGATTTAAATGGGGTTAAGTGCTGGAATGCTGATAGCTAGCCGACTCTTGAGACACCACTCACCTGACACCATGGCTGAGAAAGAGGCAGACCCTTCCCCAAGACGGGTGGCTCCTTCCAGAGCCCAGAGACCCAATCCCAAAACCTCTTCAGCTGCCTTCCTCCATCCTCTCTCCTGTCTAGGCCTGCCATTTGCTGTGACGGCTGAGGGCTTGGAGCTCACATTTGCCACCAACGTCTCGGGGGCCTTCCTCCTCACCCACTTGCTTCTTGGTAAGGACCAGCTTCTCCTGCACGCAACCGGAAGGTTGTTGATACCTCGGCTTCCCCCGTCACCTGAAACCCTCTACATCAGAGGTCTCCAAATTGGCAACTTTAAGACTTGTGGACTTCAACTCCCAGAATTCTCCAGCCAGCATAGCTTACTCTCTTGCAATCCCTTTTTCTGCAACCTCTCTACTTTGGGAGGTTAAGAGAAAAAAGAAACAGACATGGCCGGCTGGAGAATTCTGGGAGTTGAAGTCCACAAGTCTTAAAAGTTGCCAAGTTTGGGGACCCCTGCTCTAAATCCTCTCTCAGTGCCAGATATTGAGGGGGGTCAGCCCCTTCTAAAGAGGGGAATCCCTCCCAAATTGCCTCTAGTTCTGATGGTGCCACTTCCAGGAGAGATCGGGGAGTTGCCAAGATGTGAAGGAAATGCACACGGGCACAAGATGCCCCCCTAGCTCCTTTCTGAGAGGGAGCGAAGCGGCTGGTGGGTAAGCCAAAGAGAAGTCGATTCCTTTGGAACCAGAAGGACAGAAGGCCAACGTTGAGGATAATTAGGAAAGGAAATCGAAAGACTCCCACCGTCCACTCTGCACAGCCAGGCAGTAGCTCTGATCTACCTGGGCGGACCTGGAAAAAGCACTTGGACAAATGACCGGAAATCAGGATGGGCTGCGCAGCAGGAAATGCAGCCCCAAAGAAGGGGGCAGCGAATTCTTCTGCCCTGATGCCCTCCATCATTCAGGCCGCCCTTGAAAACCACCTGGAAGTTAAAACAGGTCCGAAGCTAGCCACATGCTGAGTGCTGGCCGCCCCTGGCTTACCACCTATAATGCCCCTCTTGTGGCAGGTACGCTGGCTTCCAGTTTTCTTCCAGGGGCAATTCAAGGTCCTGCTCATTACCTTTGTGGGATTTGTTGTCTAGTTTAAAATGATTGCGAGCCAAAGCCTAACACCCAAGAAGATAGGCCCAAGATCCAGATGGATCTTGACAGACTAGAACATTAGGCCCTATCTAACAAAATGAAATTCAGTATAGAGAAAAGTAAAGTCCGACTCTTAGGCAAGAAAACCCAAAAGTACACATATAGACTGGGTGAAACAAGGCTCAATACTCATCCCTGTGAGAGGGATCTTGGAGTGTTAGTGGACAACCAGCTAAATATGAGCCAACAGTGTGCGGTGGCAGCCAAAAAAGCCAATGCAATCCTAAATTGCATTAACAGAGGGATACAATCAAGATCAAGGGAGGTACTAATGCTACTCTATAAAGCCTTAGTAAGACCACACCTAGAGTACTGCATCCAGGTTTGATCACCACACTATAAAAAAGAGGTTGAGACTCTAGAAAAAGTACAGAGAAGAGCAACCAGGATGATTAGGGGACTGGAGGCTAAAACATACAATGAACAGTTGCAGGAACTGGGCTTGGCTAGTCTAGTAAAGAGAAGGACCAGGGGAGACATGATAGAGGTCTTCCAATATTTGAGGGGCTGCCACAGAGAGGAGGAAGGGGTCAAGCTATTTTCTAAAGCACTTGTAGGCCAGACAAGGAATAATGGATGGAAGCTGAACAAGGAGAGATTTAACTGGAAATAAGGAGAAACTTTCTGACAGGGAGAACAATCAACCCATGGAACAGAAATTGCCTTCGGAAGTTGTGGGAGCATCATCACTTGAGACTTTCAAGAAGAGACTGGACTGCCATTTTGTCAGAAATGGTGTAGGATCTTCCGCTTGGGTGGGGGGTTGGACTAGATGACCGATAAGATCCCTTCCAACTCTGATTATCTGTTATCTGTTTACCTATACAACAATGGGGAATTTTATTTACTACTTTGCAAAGAGGGTGTATCACGTTCACACCCGTAGAGTGGACGCACCTTAAGCCATCAATATACTTTCTGTATATTCCCTATATCACCTTCACAAAGTTTGCCTCCCTTTTCCTCATTGGTTGAGTACTCGGCCGTCACAATCTATCTGAGGCACCTAAAATGAATACATTTTCCCCTGCCCTTTATTTACAACTTATGTCTAATAACTATTCAGTTTCTGAAGTTTCTCTCTAGTTGCCGGGCAAATTCCAGCCCAAACCAGTTTCTGAGCGTAGCGAGGGCCTCTCACCCTCTGCCTCTAGGTGCAGCTTTGAGCTCAAGCAACATTTATGAGATTAGATAAATGCACAGTGTTTCCTTTTCAAGGATTAGTATGTCCTGCTACAATTTTCTATTTTAAAAACAAACAAACTCCTTTCTCCTTTCCCGCATCTTTAAAGCCCTACAGAGTGAAGACCAGGCAGGCTGCAGGTCAAAGCACCCTGGATGGTTGAGAATCTCCAAGGGCATCTCTCATGGCTCATAAAAAATGGAAAACTACAATAACCCCAGTAATGCAATTGGCCCAAAACTAACAACAAGAAAATGGCAACAGCGTCATTGGAACTAATCCAGGAGAGAAGCAACTTGGAATTAGGGGGAAACTTCCTAACCGTGAGGACAATTAACTGGTGGATCCGCTTTGCCACCAGAAGTTGTGGGTGCTTCAACACTGGAGGTTTTTAAGAAGCGACCGGACAACCAAACTTGTCTGAAATGGTATAGGTTCTCCTGCTTCAGCAGGGGGCTGGACTAGAAGACCTCCAAGGTCCCTTCCAGCTCATTGAACCTCTCCTGGAGGACCTCTGCCCATCCCACCAGAGTAGATAGGAGGGTGGCCATCCGCCAGGCCCCTTGTCATCCTCTGTCTCCTGGGAAGCCGGCCCTTTGCCCTCACAGCCCCTGCCCTCCACAACACCCTCCCTCTTAGGATCTTGACAGCCCTCCCCCCCCCAACCTTCTGCCCCTCCAGGAGCACTTCGGACTGGCTCTTCCCTCAGGCATTGGGACAGGGGGAGATCAAGGCGGGACGGTGGGGGTTGCCCTAGAGAAGAGAGGCTGGGCGACCAGTTTCTTCCGTTACTGGTTTTATTGTCGCTTTTACCCTTCCGCGCTGTTTTACTGGTTGTAAGCTGCACAGGTTGCTTTGAAGAGAAGCAGCTACAGGATACCAACTGTTTTAAATAGATCAGCAAAGAAAGAACTGAATAAACGGTGGGACCTCAAAGGAGACCTAACTGCCAGCCATTATTTAGGGCCACGGTGCAACTATCATTGCAGGGTTGGGCTGCTGGGGGTTCGCCAGGGTTCAGGGGAGCCCCTAGATAAGATTCTGTAAAGTTCGGAGAAACCTCACCCCCCAAAAAATCTCACTCCTGGCTGGCCCTGCCCACCCCTTCCCGCTCCTCCCAGGAGACACCCACACAGCCTGTTTTGGATGCAGGTAAGTGCAGGCCGCGCATGGAGGTTCAGGAAGGCCGGAAATGGGCCCGTTTTCGGCTTTCAGAGAGCCTCTGGAGCCCGGAGAGGGTAAAAATGCCCCCCCCCCGCCATGGTGCAGAAGGCTGACTAGGCCACGCCCACCATGGCCAAACACACCCAGAACTGGGCAGAGAACCCGCTGCTAAAAAAAAAATTTAAGCCCCGCCCCCTTGAAAACATGGGTACCAAGAGGATGAATCCAGGAATGAGGAGAGACTTCAACTGGGCCGGCCTTTGGTGTCAAGAAATAGACAGGGGAGAGAGAGAGAGAGAGGAAGGGAGGGAGATGCTGGTGGGAAGGGGAGGCTGTGGGTGGGCTCCCCGCTGCTGGTGGGAGCTCCCCCAGAGGGTTTTGGTTCCCCTCACTGCTCCTCCGTGCAGGCACCATGGTGGCCTCTGCTCCGGCGCGCATCGTGAACGTGTCTTCCTTCCGGCACTTCTGTGTCAGGAAGGTGGACCTGAAGTTGCTGACCGGGGAGGAGCGGACCAAGAACGCCAGCCAGGCCTACGACTGCACCAAGCTCATGAACGTCATCTTCACCACGGAGCTGGCCCGGAGGCTGCAGGGCACCGGTAAGCATATGGCTGCGTGTGCGGTCCAGAAGTGGTATTCAGCCAGTTCTGACCAGTTCTGGAGAACCAGTAAGTGGAAATTTTGAGTAGTTGGGAGAACAATGCCACCTCTGACTGGCCCCACCAACCCCCATCTCTTCTCTGCCTCCCATTGAGTCCCAGCTGATTGTCTGGGTCTCCTTTGGTTGCCCTGCACAGGAGAAAGGAGCTGGAAAGCAGGTTAGTGGGATGGGGAGGGAAGGGGGATTTTGCAGTATCCTTTCCCTGCCACACCCACCAAGCCACGCCCACTAAGCCACACCCACAAAACTGGTAGTAAAAAATATTGAATCCCACCACTGGTGGGGTCCCCGTTGCTACGCAAAATCACAGAACGAGAAGTTGCAAACAGAAGAAAGTTGGGGCAGAAATTACACCTGTGTGCAGTTTAGATCAGTGGTGGCAAACCTTTTCCGGCTCCCGTGCTGATAATTGTGCGCACGCTCGTGTGCTTGCGCTCGTGTGCCCAGAAGGCAATGCATGCTGCCCCACCGTGCACATGTGCGCGCAATCCCCTTGCCACGCACCGCATATCTGCGCATACATGCACGATCCCCCTGCAGTGCATGGCAATCTGCGCATGCACGCACAATCCCCTTCCTGCACATCTGCGCATGCACACACAATCCCCTTCCTGCACATCTGCGCATGCACGCACAATCCCCTTCCTGCACATCTGCACATGCAC